CCCTCAAGGAGGATGTGGGGTCAGTCTGTCCCCAAGAACAAGTCTGTCTGCCTTGTCATTGGGCCGACATTGTGGAGTCCAGACCCTGATGGCTGTCCGGTGCTTATAGATGATACAGACGCTCAAGTGTGTTTTGAAAAACCCTCCCAACGGATGGTTATACTTTCTTTTTATTTTATTTTTTAATTGATTTCAGAGAAGAAGGGAGAGGGAGAGACAGATTGAGGACCTTTGTCGTTATTGAACTAGAATTAGGAGACATGCTTGACATTTTCAGCTTAAAAAAAAGTAGATTCTTAAATGCTTGTTTCCCCTGTCGGTGGATCGATGTATAATGCCGGATGGTCACCTCAGAGGACAAAGATTGAATCCACCGTGGCCACACCCGCAGTTGACTCTCTTTTTCTCTCGCAAGATCCACTTGATCCTCATCCTTATGGGGACGGATATGGGACTGAGGCCCAAAGAGGCAGCGTTTGCTTTTTGTCAGCCCTGCGCTCGCTTACCCGATCGTGGGGGTGTTGTTTGTGGGGTGCATGCCGGTAGACGTGTTACTGCCCGTTCCATTTTGCTGTTTGTTCATAATTGATGTTCCCTTTCCTCCTTTTTGGTAGCTTGGTTTTTAACGTCGTCCACGTGTTCTTTCCGCATAAAAATAAAATAGTCCAGAGAACTAAGAGGATATTGCAAACCCAAATCATTTTTCTCGGTTAAGGAAATTGGATGTTTTGTAAAAAAACAAAACAAAACAAAAAAACAACAACAACAAAACAAAAACCTGTAGAAAACAGGGGGAAACTAACGCTTGAAGAGTATTACCTTAAACCTTTACATCATCTGTGGGTGTCGGCCTGGAAGTGTGTGTGTGTGTGTGTGTGTGTGTGTGTGTGTGTGACCCAAAACACTGTGTGGTGGAAAGATCAGATGTATGAACACTTCCAATCAATGCAGAAGTACAACTTTTAATTAACAGTATTGTTAAAAGCATCCCCCCAAAACGAATTTCATGTGTCTTATTTCTCCCTCCAATACTTTCTCTCCCTCCCTCTACCTCTTTCTCCCTCTCTCTCCTTCTCCCTTCCCCTCCCCCCCC